GAAATAGAGAAATAGAAAGGAAAAGTGGAATTGCCTCAAATATCTGCTTGTATCAGTAGGAATCCTGAGGCAGAGCAGCTCATATCTGTGGCCCAGGTTCTAAGGCTGGGATGTGCTTGTAGAAATCATTCTCCCTTTCTTAATGACACCTGGTCTTACCTAATAAACAATGAGACTTGGAGAGATACAGACTGTCAGCAGGACATTGTAAAATCAATAGGACCCACAGCACAGGTGGGAAGTAATGGAATTTGGACCACACATTAACCGTCAGAAGAATAAAGAGAACAGTGGACATTAGGAGTGCTAATGTTCTGTCCCTTGTGGAAGGAGTCACCACTGGGAACCCAGCTATGGGGAGAATTTAAACATGACAAAACTTGGAAAGATCCCAATATGCAGCCTATAGTGAGATGGACTTCAAAGTCTGTCTTACTCCTCATTTATCTACCTTTAGGAATAGATCAGCCATACACAATTTGACTCTACAAATGGAAACTTTAGCAAATGAAATTCACTGGGGCTCTGCTGAAATAAATGAACAGTTGCAAGCCACAGCTAAAACAACCATACAAAACATATTGGCTTTAGATCTATTGCTGTTACATGAAGTATGTGCTTGCTTGAATTTAAACAATAGTTGTGTGTACATTCCAAATGTGACTGTTTAACTGGGTGATCAGATAGAGAGGATAATATTGCTACATATCAAAGAGAATTAAGGGCAGGATCAGAAAGTAACTGGTTAAGTAACCTACTTAAAGGACTTGGATTTTCTCTGACCAGTTGGTGTAAAAGTATAATTGTGATTATGATGCTTGTTTTGAGCTGCTGAAAAAACATGATTTCTCGTACAACACAAGGAAGTTATATAATGTTAGTAAAAAAGCAAGGTGGGGCTTATGAAGGCTCAAGAAGAAGACAAGCTTCACAAGCCTCAAAGGGCAGGAAAGTTGCCAGATGAAAAATTATTTGTACCTGGTGGGTTAATACAATGCTTATTCTTCAAAAACCACTGGCCTATGGAACTACACAATACTTATATCCTGTAGGAAGAAGAACTGGAAAGCAACCAGCCGAGTTGTGCCAACCCAGTTCATCAGGTGGCCAGATATGACACTGGGGTCAGTGACCATCAGGGACCACCAAAGAGACCCCCAGGACAGAAGAACACAAGTGCAAAGGGGAGGGAACATACATGAATGATTTTAGGGAAATTATTATCATATGTATGTTTATTCTGGGAAAATCAATGAATATTATACAAAACAGGAGCTTTTTCTGTACTCAGCTTGCACAATATTTCACAGGAAACAACCTTTAGTGCATCTGGCTGAATAAAGAATGCCTGTTTCTTAATGCTACAATGGTGTGAAGGAGTTTTTATTTTTACAAATTTTTTGGTAAAAATTGTTCAGCAGGATCCCCAGCTCCTTCTGAGAGACACGTTCCAGAAGGCCAGCCCCCAGCCTGCAATGGTGCATGGGGTTATTTCTTTCTGGGTGCAGGACCCTGTATTTGCCTTTACTGAGTTTCAGAAGGTTTTTTGCCAAACTCTTCAGCTATCTAAGTTGAGAATTAAAGGAACTTTCTCTGCAGTAGGGATGAAAGTGAAGGGATCTTTCCCAGCAGAGAGGTGTGTGAGGTTTGTAAATTGCATGAACAGCTATAAACACCCCACCAGCTTCCTGGTGCCCGGCAATATAAAATAAGAGGTCAGCTTTGCAAAGGCACATGTGGCTCTCTACCCTTCAGATAGAGAGCCACATGTGCCTTTGCAGAGCTGAAACACAAAGCTTATTTGTACATCTTGGCAAATGTCACAGGCAACCCATGCATTTATGCCATCAAAGGCTGATTTTGGTAGAGAATTTAAAAAAGGAACTGTCTAGACCAAGGAGAGAGATAGATCTGAACTGTGACCTGTGAGTTGTTCTTTTTAGCCTGCAGACCTGAATGTGGTGCCCTTTGTAATCCAGGAGCAGGGATGGCAATGAGTTACTACACTCTTTAAGTGACTCACATGTAATATGGTAAAAAGCATGGTTATCAAATAAAGCACAGCTGAAACAGTTGTGTTGATTATTTATCCTTTTACTAGTGGTACTTACTGTTTATTGTGTCTTAAGTGTATGCATATAAATATAGAAGCATGTGAAAATGTACTTTCTAGAACATACCAAATAATGATGATGGCTAGTATCAATGCTAAATGCTTCTCATATTTCATTAATACAAAGAACAGTAAGAGTGGTGCTAACATAACTACAAGAGAAAAGATAGAGTGGAACTTGCTGGCATGGGGAAATCCCTTGGAATTTGAGAGAAAACAAGACATGTTTTTTGACAAAACAAATGAGGCTTAAATGGCCTCATATTCAGATTGAGAATTTAGGTCTCAAAGGAGAGAATCATGAATGATGAATGATTTAAGGAAAAGATTTTGCAGTGTGAATAATTGAGAACAACAGATAAGTAGGAAACTGTCTGGCAGTATATAATAAATTTTACTCAAGTTAGCAAAATCAGCTAAATCTGTGTTCTTTAGCTTAACTTAGCTCATTATTGCATGAAAACCACACCTCTAAAGCTCAGGCTACCCACCTCCAGCTGAACATGAGCAATAAATTTAAAATGTATCCTACCTTTACATCAAAATGGGCAAAAGATCATAGAATCATAAAATGGTTTGGTTTGGAAGGGACTTTAAAAACCATCTAGTTTCAGTCTCCCTGTGATGGGCAAGGGCAGCTCCACCTGCCCAGGTTCCTCAATGTACTATCCAAACCAGTTTTGAACACTTCCAGGGATGGAGTATCCACAACTTTTCTGGGCAACCCATATTTCTGCCTCATTACTCCCACAGTAAAGAATTTTTTCTATATATCTAAACTAAATTTCCTTTCTTTGAGTTCAATAGCTATTAAATAGGCATGTAATTAGAAATTAGGTATGCTTGTACTTCTGTGTTATGAAAGTAGAAGTTTTCAGCCTGACTGTAGCTGGTTTTGTGGGTTCACCTCTGCACAAACCTGAAATAAACAAGTGTCTCCTATGGGTCAGCTTCTTACACAACAGACAGAAGAACCTGTATTTGGGACAACACTGCCAGTGAGTAGGCTGGAGGAGTTCACCAGCAAGGGACCCAGTGGGGAAGACTGGTAGACATCCTGGACATCCCAGACATCCTAGACCATCCTAGACCACTTTGTGTCACACGCAGCAATTAGAGCTGGGATAAGAAGAACAAAGAGCAGGGTATTAGGAGTTAAGGCGCTTGTCTTCCTAAGCAACCTTCAAATATGACAAAGATCTGGTTTTGTAGAAATGGATAAATGAACAAGTGCCTGTCAATTTTATGTACTGAAATCCTTCCTCATTTTGCTTTGTGCGCACAACTTTTGGTTATAACTAAATTTTAAGTTTTAATTAAATTGTTGCTATTTAGATGCCCATTTTCTCACTTTCAACCTTCTTTCTTTGTTCTCCACCTTCCTGTGACAGAGTGACCAAAGGAATGTGTGACAGAGTGACCAAAGGAATGTTCTCCACCTTCCTGCGACAGAGTGACCAAAGGACTAGCCCACAACTAGCTATGTAACTCCAATTTGTCTGGCGGTAATTCGCAGAATTATCCAATGCAGAAAAATGCGGAGAGCCAAATGTACACCAGATTCGCGGCGTAAACGAAGCTTCTCCTTGTCTTCTCTAGTCTCGCCCCGTATTTGTAACGACCGCCAGTATTAATCTGTATCTTTGGGGTAGGGTTACATGTAGCTCTGTCAGTGTAGGGTTACATGCAGCGTTATGTCCTGGGAAGCGCTGGTCCCGCTTGCCGGGGATGCCGGGGCTGCCCGGCGCGCCCGCTGCGGGCGCAGGGCCCTCACAGCCCTCGGCGCCGCGCCTGCCGCCATGGAGACGCCAACGGCCGCTTCCCCGGCGCGCGCCGACCCCTCCCCCCGCAGGCCTCGCGCCGGTGGGCACAGCGCGCGGGGCGGAGCGGGCGGGACCGGCAGGCGGCCGGAGCGCGCGGCGGGAGGGGGCGTGGTGGTGCCGCGTGCCCGCCTCGCTCCCCCCGCCCCCGCTCCCGCCCCGGCGTGTTGTCTGCACGGCCGCGGCCGGGCGCTCTCGCGAGATCGGCGTTGGCGCCGTGACCTCCATGTGAGCGCGGCGGCGCTCCCCGGTAAACAGTGCCCGGGCCGGGCGATGGCTTCCGGCGCATCCCCGTAGCCCTGCCCGCCGCCGGCCCGCCGAGACCCGCCGCGATCTGCGCTGCCTCGGCGGGATCGGGGAGCGCCGTGGGATCTGCTCCGCTCCCCTTCCTTCTCCCGTACCCCGCCGAGCGGGACGGGCGGCCCGGTTTGCGGGCGGGAGGGTCGCGCCCGCTCCGCGGGGTTTGAAATTCCTGCCCCGTCGGGCCAGACAAAGAGCGGGGTAGCGTCCGGACTCCTCCCCGGCACCTCCCACGCCGTGGGCGCTCACCCGCGGAGCGGACCCCGTTCCCACCCGCTGCCTGTGTCTCCCATCCTTTGCCCGCGGCCGGTCCAGCGGGCGGGAGGGCGCGCACCATGTGGATCCAGGTCCGCACCATCGACGGCACGGAGACCCAGACCATCGACGACCTGAGCCGCCTCACCAAGATCGAGTGCCTGCGGGAGAAGATCGAGGAGACCTTCCGCGTGAGCCCCGACCGCCAGCGGCTCTTCTACCGCGGCAAGCAGGTGAGGCGGGATCTCCGCTACGCAGGCGGGCCCTCGGGGGTCTCCCCTAATCCCGAGCCCGGCTCTTTGTGCGGCCCAGGGGTCCCCGTCTCCACCCATGTGCTGTTCTGTGAGCTGCCGCTTTTGTTTACTCCCGGGTCTGGGAGGAAGGGAGGGCAGCGGGGAGCCCACCCTGACAGAATGCTCTGGCTCCCCCGTTTTCCTCGATGAAGTAAAAACCCCAGTAAAACCCCTCACCGGGTCCTGGTGAAACCCCTTTGTGTGTTTGTTTTCCCACCTGAGCGGCGAGAGGCTCCTCCCTCGGCTCCCGCCTTCATCCTGCCCAAGTGACAGTAGCCGGAGGGTTGCGGGGGGAAGGAGGGAGCTACCCCGCTCTCCTCCGCCCCGCCGCATCCAGGCCGGGCAGGGCGGGAAGCGGGCCGACCGCGAGCGGTTTCCAGGGAAAAGGGCGCCCCAGGTCCGCACGTGGCGGGGCCGGGAGAGGCGGCGGCGCGGGGTTAATTGGCGCGGGCAGGAGTTGGGATGCCACGGTGTCCTCGACTTGTGAGTCCCGGAGTGTCCCGGGCGGGATAAGGGCGACTGCTCGTAGTCCAGCGAGGCGCTTCATCCCCACCACGGGAAGCCGCTATGGCAGGGGTGACTGGCAGGAAGTGTTCCGTGAGGTGGAACCTCCCCTCGGGCGATGGTAAGGTTTTGTTCCGAATAGGTCGCCTCAGGCTGTAACTTCGCTGATGGGTGTAACCTTTGAAGCTGCGTTTCGTAAACTGCGCAGTGCTCGAGTAGTGAAAGTGAAGCATAGCTATTACCTGACGCGGAAGGCACCGAATGTGTGGTGCATTTCAGGGAAAGTGACTCCGAAGATGCATCTTCTTGCAGCAGATGAGTGTTGAAGCGTTCACCTAAGTGGAGTAATGCACAGCAGTGAGATTTCTGCCTCAAAAGAGACAAAGTGTGTATCTTTACAAACAGGTAGAGAAATCTTGAAAAATAGAAATTTAACTGTTAACCAGGGGGTCAGCATTAGTGGCTAGATGCTAAGCCTAGATTTTGAACCAATAGCAAATGACTAGATTTTTGTGTTCTACAGGTTAGTGACAGTGAGCACTTCTGAAGACTGGTCTCTAAGGAACATTATGTACAAATATGTGTTTTTCTGAAGGGGCCAAATCAAGGAACATGAGTCTTGGAGTTGTGTAACCTGCTTGGCTTTGTTCTGTGCTAGCACTCTTCTTTGGGTATAGATGTTTATGTGGGGCAAACCCGAGGTTTTTACCCCAAATTCTCTATCTGAGGAGCAGGGAAGATGAGTCTGTAATGAGCTGTGCTTTCCAGTGTAATCTGAAAGTGGCCAGACCAATTAGTGTGAACATTTTAGTTAACAGATGACTTGCTTGAGAAAATGGGATAGTGAAATATTATAGCTGAAGTTGCCTACAGGAGCAGCATGTGAGAGTTTGTTACTTAGTATATGCAGTTTAGGACACAGCTGGGATCATGTTAGTGAAGAGTTAGGGAATTGGGTTTTTATAGTTTCACTCCCCATAAATGTTAATTTTCTTGTAATTACCATGATTAATTCTTAAGTTTCCTTTTTGATTATGGGTTGCTTTTCTGTTTCCATGGTGCTCATAAGTAAAAAGATCAGAAGGGTTGCTTTTGCACAAGTAAAACTGGATGTTGAGAACATGAAGCTAAGTAACTTAATTCTCTTAGGGCGGTGATAAAATAAAATAATATTTATTTTAATATTAGGAATAAAAAAAGGTCGCTTTAGTTAAATTTGAGATGAACAGAAAGGAGTATCCTGATGTGAAAACTTAAACACCCCCTGAAGATTGCTGTATGTGTTGTAAAAAATATTATCTAGGTGTAATGCTTTTCTTATTTTATGTGGTTAGCGCTCAGTATGGTTAAATCTGTACAGTCTGCTAGTAGAACCATGATCCTTCTACTGAATGCTGTTTACTGTAGTGGTTGGGAACTTCCAGAAATGCTTGGATTTTGCAAATGGTGGGAACCCTGGCTAAGTAATGTCCTCCTAAAAATGAGAGGTATATGAGGTTATAAGGATGTAGAAACCTAAGTGAGTCATTGTTTATGGGCTGAATTTCAACAGCATCATGTTCCTAGCTTGCAGTAGAGAACAATTTCAACTAAGATTTTGAGCTGGAGCTATAATTTTGCGGTTTTTTAGGAGTCTCTGTGTACAGTTAATGTAGTTAATGTGCTATATTGTAATTTGATGTTGTCTGATCCTCAAAGACAAATACAAGAACTTAAGTGGTCAGTACTTCCCATGTCTTTTAAGGGTTAAAATACCCTAGAACTACTGGAAGAAACCTAGTGTTATCATTAATGTAGTACTTTGCATGACTGTTGAGTTGGGGGTTTTTTTTCTTGTAAATGCCAGGAATAGCACTACTTTGTTGAATAGGTTGGCATCTTTTACTGCCAGAAGGACCTGCCATTCACATGAGACGCTGAAGACTCACCAATATAGTATTACTCTGTAACCTGTACAGGACATCCTGTGCTCTCTGGGGCTCCACATTTCTGCCAAGCTGACTGGCTCTTCTAGCCACACAAGTCAAGGCATATTCTAGATTGAGGTGGAACTTTCAGACAAAGTTTTTTTTATTCTTAACTCTGCAGTTAGCCAGAGAAGTCTACTGAACGTAGAAACCTGCAGAGATGTCTCTTGCTTTCCCTCTTGAAGATGGCGGATCATTATCTGGAAGGATTTTCCTATAGGGCCACAAATATTTCCTTATGCTGGAATAAAACATATTTTAACCTTACCCCACTACAGACTATTAATAGCTAATATTTTTCTGTGTAATGTGCTAACTTTCGTTCAACTTGTTCTTAGAGAAATTCAGAAAAGCAAGATGACAGTCTGATTTCCGGCAGCATATTCTTTCTCCTAATTGGAAAGCATGTGAAACTGTTCTTGAGAATAGAAGTTCTCAGTTTATTCATGAAAGTGAAGGAGATATCTTTGCATTTTGAGCTACCAGAGCAGATTTTCTGTAGAGCCAAGTTACCGTCATTATGGGATTTCTAGTTTCTTTCAGTTACAATACTGGAAAATAGAGCTGTAAAAGTACATGGAAGTTGAATTTGAAAACGCATCAGAGAGCTTGAGGTTTTCTGTAAAACTGTAACAGTACTAATACCTGCTTATGTTTTGCATATAACTAAACATGCGCACTCTTGTATTTCAGCAATAACTACTATTTGTGGAAGACAAGAACTAATGTTTGTTGTTGGCTTCTGTCATCATCCCATCCCACCCTGTTGGAATTTGAACTTGGTGAACATTTGTAAATGACCATTGTTAAAAAACCCCATTATCTCAGTATATTTTCCATAGTGCTTACCAAAGTAGGGGAGAAAAGACATTGGAGCCCAAAGGCTTCTTTGCCGATATATGTAGGAGTCAGTGACTGAAATGACTTTTGAAGTCATTAATCTTGTTGGTGAGGAAACCACTCCTAAATTGTGTCGTGGGAGACTGAAGTCAGCAGGAGGAGGTGAGAATATTGAAGCTGTTTATTTACTTGAGGTCAAAATTGCTGCAAATCAGGCCTACTTCACTAAAAGAAATTCAGCTCTGCTTTTGTGCACAAAGAAGTATGGTAGTATGCATTGTGTTACTTAGCTGTGCAAGTTGAATATTTAAAGTCTAGTTTGTCAGACCCACACTGTAAGGACCAAGTATTTGGGTTTTGTTTCTATAAAACTTAACTGAAACAATAGAGGGGTAAGTGGAGTGGAGGAACTTCAGCTTTGCATGAGAACATGCTTGTGGTAAAGTATCTTCAGTAAAACACACAGTTAAAAATCTGTCAATAGGACATGCCTTCATTATACCAGACCTCTAGCTTCTGGGTAACCTGGGTGGCACATGAATAGTGGGTGAAATCTCATGTGAGTTGAAGCTTCCAAACTTCAGGTTTGTTTACCGTATGTTTGAGTCCTTCTTAATACTTACAACTTGGGTGAATTTCCCGAAAGCTAGAAAAGCAATACTTGTGAAGTCTTTCCCTCAGGAATGGGAGTGCTAAGCCTATTCATAGAACAATTGAGTTTCTTAGCACAGACTCTTCCCAGCTTTATTTTGCTTGGAAAATTGTAAATATTTTCAGCTGAAGCTGTCCAAACCCCATCTGCTTCAGGCAGAAATCTGGGGTGAGAAATCTTCAGCTGGAGCAGTTAAGTTTTTTGTTTTAGAGAAACAGTTTGAAGAAACCTTAGAAGGGAAGTAATTGCCATTCTTTGAGGAAGCTGATAACAAGTAGCTCTGTAGTGTGAGGAGAGTCACCTGGAGTCTTCAGGTCAGATATTATCAAACTGCATTCCAAAATTCCCAACATAGTGAATTCATGGTGTATACTCAAAACTTACCTTGATAGTAGGTTTGGTAGGCCTGTGAGTAAGTTTTTATTCTACAATTGCAGAAGTTTACTGAAACAATATTTTTGTTAAATTGTTATTGTAAAGCTGCTAATGCAATTTACCATTCTTGGATCTGATTGTCTTTATTATTTAAAGCACCTAAACAAACTGAAGGCAAAGCAAAGAAACATAGGTTAAAATGCAATACGTTATACTGTTTTGTATGTATTATTTAAGTATTAGGAACCTGAAAGAGAATTATGTAGCCTGTAAGAAATTGCAGCCAACTTTAGGATTGTATTTTATGGGATGTATATTTACTCCCAGAATCACAGAATACACTGAATTGGAAGGGACCCACAGGTATCATCAAATCCAACTCTTCATCCTACACAGGACATCCCCAAGAGTCATACTGCACATTTGAGTCACGCATTCATGTAATTTAGTTAGGATAGTTTTGTACATGTACTTTTTTAAATTAGCCTGGAAGCTCTTAGAAAAGGAATATTTTTTTATATTATAAAGAACTCCACAAACCCTTAGATACAGAGTGCAAGGCCTACACTGACACTAGATTATGACAATTTTCCATGGTAATATGTAATCAAATGTTGATATCAATAATACAGATAGTTATGAGAGGATTCTATTCTTTAAAAGCTATTAATTAAATCTCTGTTCTTAATGATTTAACTGTAAAATTATGTAAAAATGTACTTGGTTATTGGGGATTTTTTGGTGTGGTTTTTAGATTTTTGTTGATTATGGAAGCTTGAGATAATAACCAGTTCTTCATTACAGGTGTCCTCACAAGCTGCAGATAGCCATTTGCTCTCGCTGGCACCACTGTTGCTGAACTTCAGTTGCCTTTGCTATAGAAGCCCATACCATCATACAGGAGGTACTTGACCCTTCTCATCTAATCAGCACAGGGATGGATGATTCTTTCCATGCTGCTGAGGATCTCTGTGCAGCTATATATTTTGACATGCTTGCTTTTTTATTTTTTAATGACAGTATCAAATAACATCAAAGAGCATCCAGAAGACACCATGAACTTCTCTTTACATAATTAGAAGACTCCTTAGAATGACAAAAGAAGAGAAACCTTGCTGCTCTAACTTCAGCTAGAAGTTAATGAGCAACTGTTGCTTTAGTGGGACTTAGAGTTTCATCCAAGAAGAAACTACCATATCTAAATTAACATTTTTTTTTCTGTATCTCAGTAACAAAGGAATAAATAATCTTCAAAACATAAACTGCTTTATAAAAAAGTGTAACTTG